GATTCTTGAAAATAGTAATCCTAATGATTCAGCACTAGCAGTATTTCAAAGTCTATTACTTCAAACCGTTGCTGAACAGGATATTTCTGCTCAGGAGACATGCCATCTTCTTCTTGGCATTCCCTTATATCATTCCAGTCGTCAGTTTGTTACTTTGAACCTTAACAAACATTCTCATCGATGGCTTCGTGAAATAGGAAATGATAATGAAAATTGTTTGTCAAATGCTGAGGTTGGCCGAACAGTAATGTCACCTTTACAAAAGTACTGGAATTGTCCCACAGAACTTGAAGATGTTTCTCTCTTCCAGCTTCACCTAAAGTATAGCTTTTGGAGAGATCAGTGGAAACTACGCGACCGAGAAAACATTGTGCGTGTCTGGCCAAGACCCTCACCTCAGGTTAATGGTCCTCAATGGGATGAATTTTGTCGAGTAAAAGTTCTTCTCCATATTTGCCATTGTGATCTCCATCAATTAACAGAAAACAATACCGTTTCATGGTCAGATCTCCTTAATAGACATCGTGAAATAATTGAAAAAAATAATGATGATTTACTTGGTCCTCCTGTAGATAACTTAGAAAACGAGTTAGATGAAGAAGAAAGTGATTATGACGAAGAACTGGAAGATGAAGAACAGATGCGACCTGATTGGATGATCCTAGCAGAAATGAGACTAGATGTAATTATCGAAAATTCTTCGGAATTGGGTTTTCGAGATATTGATCGAAATTATGACTGGATTAGTGATGTTAGACGACGTTGTCCTGATATCGATCTTGCGAATGCACCTAATTTCATACAGCAAGTACGTGAATTAGGAATCGTTGATGATGACAACTCTACTCTTCATGCTGTAAATTGGCAAACATTAAACGATAATCAGAAGAAAATATTCAATCGAATAGAATCTCACTATAATAACTTGATCATGAATCCTGGTCATGTTGAACCTCTCAGGCTTATTGTAATGGGAACTGCATGGACGGGAAAATCATATTTGATTAATATGGTTCGGGATCGGCTTCGGGAAATTGCAAGGAACCACAGTATCGATACACAATCACCTGTTGTTGTCCTAGCACTAACTGGAGTTGCAGCGTTCAACATTCATGGCATAACGATCTATTCAGCTTTGTCAATTCCGATAAACTACTAACAATCTCGATTTAAATGGTGAAAGCCTGAAAAAATTACAGAAAAAATTAGGAGGAGTAAAATATTTAATTATTGACGAAAAAAGTATGGTGGGTCGTCGTATGCTTGCCTTAATTGACATGTGACTACGTCAAGCCTTTCCTGAACATCAAAAACAGGTCTTTGGTGGCCGATCGGTGATTCTGGTGGGTGATTTTGAACAGCTCCCGCCGGTACTAGATGAACTTATGTATTTACAGATTTCTCGTCGAGATCCAGTATCAAATGATGGTATTACGGCATATAGACAGTTCTGGGAAGTCTATAAGCTCGATATTATTCAACGACAGTCAGGAGATTCCGATGAACAGCGTAACTTCAGAGCCATGTTATTACGGTTACGTGATGGTGAATCTACAATGGATGATTGGAAAATGTTTGCCTCACGATTTGCTGATCATCTAAATGTATCACCTACAGACTTCTTGGATGCTACATGTATCTTGTCTCAGAAGTCAGATGTTGCTGAATTCAACATTAATAAGCTCAGGTCTTTAAACTGCCCTGTTGCTATAATCAATGCCATACATACGGGTGGTAGCGAAGCACGTAAAGCTGATTCAGATATGGCAAAAGGACTCGAGCCTCAATTTTTGTTGGCAAGGGATGCAAGGGTCATGCTCAGAGCAAATTTATGGACGGAATCTGGTCTGGTCAATGGTTCAGTTGGCACTGTTCAAGAAATTGTATTTAAAGAAAACCAGTCCCCACCTTCGCTTCCTATCGTTGTTCTGATAGAATTTGAAAACTATTATGGACCGGTTATTGTAACTGCAGAAGGTAAAAGGCTTGTTCCTGTTTCTCCAATGAGACACACCTGAGAAGGAAAGAGAGGAACTTGCTCACAATTGCAAGTTCCAATTTGCCTTGCTTGGGCTATAACAGTTCATAAAAGTCAAGGGCTAACTTTGCAAAAGGCTGTAATGGAGCTTGGGAAAAAAGAGTTTGCTGCTGGACTTTCTTTCGTGGCAATTTCACGAGTATGTGCTCTCCAAAATATTCTTTTTAGGCCATTTTCATTTGAAAGACTGCAGCGTATCAAGACTTGTAAGAGACTACAAGAGAGATTGGCCGAAGAGATACGTTTAATTTCTATGATACCGCAAGTTGGGACAGATAATGATCAGATAACAAGATGAAAATAAAATACTTTTTTAATTCTAATACAACTTTCGTTAAAATTCCCAAAATAATTTTTTTCTATCAGTTTTATCTAAATGCTAATCTAATAACGGTATAGATTATTTTGATTAGAGTTGTATCACTGCAGATCGTACAAGTTTTAAACACTTCGGACGCTCCAACGGTTCCCGTTACCTAGTATATATATATATATATAAAAATAAAATTGCTATTTTAAAAATTATTTTCATTTTATATTAATATTATAATTTTTTCAAATCTTAGATATCATCGGTATATTTTTCAACATTAGAAGCTTTAAATAAAGGTAAAGCAACAATTGCTGCTCAACAATATAAAGATGAACTTATTGCAGCTATCTTCATTTGAAGAAATGAGTTTAGTAAGTAAATATAATCATTAATTTTATCTTTATTAAATAAAATGATGTTTTTCAATATTTCAATTGTATGATGATATTATATAGAATGGTACAAGGTTGACTTTGATTTAGTTTAATTTAGATTAGAATAAATAGAAGTTTTTGTATTTTCTTTTCTTATTTTTGTAATTTTGTATAATTTTACGAAGCTACCACACTTATAAAAAAAAAAAATTTTTAGTCTCTGAGCCATTTTCCTAGCAAACCACAAAAAATATCAATTAAAATATAAAATAAAAATATAAAAAAATATATATATCGATATTATTTTTGTAATTGCCTTAAGATCAACTATTGAAACAATCACGCGCTAGAAAATGAATGCTGCTGCGCCACGGGCTCTTGAATCATTGCAGAATAAACAACCTTTTTTTTTTTGACCTTCTTATTTGTATCTTTACATATTAATTATCAAGTATGGCAACAGAAACCTCTAGTCAACCTGATACCAACGCTGATACTCCTAGGTAATTTATTTCTACGCAACTTTCAAAGTTATCAGATTTAAATTCAGTTTTAAAAGTGAACTGAACTGTTTTTAAATTATATGCATCAAAGTCAAACGGTAGTAACCTCAAGTATTGTGGTCCCTTCCACGTCTACTGCCAAGCGCTCGAGTCGTAATGATGCTTTACCTAAGCGACGTGCAAGCAGTGATTTCTCTAGACATAATACGGAAGAGGTAGGTATAGCTTCGTCACCTTTAATGATATTTCAAAATTTTAAGTAATATCTTTTTCTTTTTCTATGATACGTTGTTCTAATTTCTATTAGGCAAAAAGACCTCGATTGAATATTACTAGCAATGAAGCTAAGAAGCGAGGACAAAGATTATTTGGAGTATTATTAGGCACCTTGACAAAATTTAAAACCGAAAGTCAAAATAAATCTGAAGCCGTATGTTAATTTATTAAGTTTAGAGCATTAGCTTCATCCATTCACTTTGATAAATTAACGAATTTCCATTTCTGTTTTACTAAGGAAATCAAACGTGAACAAATTGATCAAAAACTTCAAGAGAAGTTAAAAAAGGATCACGATGAATTGGTTGAAAAAATGAAAAGAGAGGAGCAAGAACGAAGAGAAAAAGTTGCAAGAGAGAAAAGAGAGGCAGAAGAAAGAAGAATTAATGATTTGGTAAAGAACATAATAATGTTTGTAGATTATAATTCATGTTTCGAGAAATTATTTACCTTACCGATATTTTGATTTAATAGAAAGAATGCTGGAAGAATCAAAAGAGAAATCTAGCCAACTTTCTCTGCACCACTTCCGAACCTCCATTATATTATCTTCCAGCTAGATTGTCTCAACCAATGCTGGAGACTATAGCGGTACAAAAACGCCATTTAGCGTTAACACTTTCTCCTTCAATACAACCAGATATACCAGATGTAATCTTAACAAACGAGAAAGAAAATAATGCTGAAGTAACAGATATCATAATGATTGAACAATCCAATGTACTGGATCAAAACAAGGAACTAATTGAGGAAAATCCAAATGATACAAAAGGGGAATCAGCACAGTCGGAATTGAAAGTTCTAAATCCTTCCGAGAAAGCTAAAGAAAAAGATCAGGAGGATATTAATATAGCGGAAACGATGAAAAACAATGTAGAGGTGCCAAGCAATAATGAAGATGACTGTACAGATACGAATGATGCGATACATGAAAATACTCCGACCAAGGATGTTGTAGATACGGTTGATAGCAAGGACGATCCAGTAGAATATTAATTATTTGTATATAGTTTAAATTATGCTTTTTATTAATTTGAATTTGAGAATGTAAAGCTTATAATTGATTTTACAAAAATAAAGTTAAATGATTAGGAATTTGGTAACATTCATTTTATCGAGAGTTAGCGATTTCTTAGTCCCCCGTTGTCAATAAATTTATTTCAAGGATAACTTATCACGTAAGTTATATTTACAGAAGCGTTAGATATTCTATTATACTATCTGACTATCCTTTACTTATTTTCATAAAAAAAATATATAGTTTGAAAATTTTGCAATTATTTTTTTTTTTGTCGAAAAGTAATATAAATGATAGAATTCAAAATTCAATTTAAGAGTATAATTGATTATATTATTATATATATTATTAAAAAACAATTATTTGAAAATTAGATCTTCCAATACATTATTGATATTCATACATAATTAAGTAATATTTTGTCACTTAATACTTTTCTCATAATTAAATTAAGTCCTATCAACCAGAGAATGTTTTATTGTGTATGAAAAGAAATTTTAAAAAACCATCGAAATACAAAAAAAAAAAAAAAAAAAAAAAAAAAAAAAGGGTGAAAAAAAAAAAATCACAGAAATTATATCGGAAATTGCGAAATATATATATATATCACAAACAACCTTGCAAAAAAAAAAAAAAAAAAGAAAAAAAAAAAAGCATTTTTTTTAAAAAAAAGATGAAATACTGTACAACTTGCAAAGGACGTAAAATCTCAAATAAAATATCTAATATGAAAAAGTGAACCTATTAAAATTAATTCATAATATACATTTTTTTTTCTTTACCTAACGATTATTATTCACTACTCATAAAAAATTTTTTCCGATTCTTCTTCCCAATCACCGCAAGCACCTAATATGACATTGATATTACTTAATAAAAGCGTGTCGTCGTCATCACCAACTTGAGCACCACCATTTGAGCCACTACCACCATCTACTCTTATTGCATAGCAAACTCGAACAAAAAAATGTTTAGAGAATGGTAGACTATATTTAAGAACCCCACGCACGGTTAAATCATATTGGCCCCTTAAAATATGTGACCTATCAAAAATCATAAATAAAATATAAGCAAGAAAATACGATAAAATAAAACCATTGACAATTACAAGGATGATTACACTTACCACCTGTCTTGACCTTCTTTGTCATTTTCGCCACCAGGATTTCTCAACCTAACTTGTCCCGATGGTTCACTTACCACACCTTTTCGATTAACACCCGCAGCAAATACGATCGGTTCATCGAATAAAAGTATGCTTCCTAAAAATTCACTAGGTGTAACGTCACTTGAAGATTTATTATTGACATCATCCCAGTGACTTCCTGGTCCACCGGGAATCCAACCAGGCGCATTATTATTATTAACAGGCGTGGCAAAAACATTAAGGTCTGAATTCACGATCTCAACATCCCAGAGACCAAAATTACGTCCTGTCACATGAATGTTAAACATAAGTTCCTTGTCTGCAGCAAGGACATCTGATATATCAATAATGCTAATATCCGTTAATGGGAGTGTAGATGTAAAATATATTACATAGGAGAACACAATAAGAAACAAGATGAATGCTGTAAATGAGGAGGATGCTGTACAAAATGATTGTCTAAGAATAATAGTAAACGTTGGTTAAGTCTTCTTTTATTAAAGAAGAAAACTTTTTTTAAAATTTCGATAGTTACCTTTGACGTGTTTCATAATTTGGTGGTTTAGCAAATAATGGTAATCTCTCATCATCACCGTACCAACCATTATAAGGATAATTCGTAGATCCATAATTAGGATATCCTTTTTTATATTGAGCCACATATTGAGACATATCAGGTAATGAAGATCTCATGACTCCTGGCTTATAAGTATTTTGTTGTGAGACATTTGGGTCGTCCGTGTCAGATCCAGATGTGTTTCCGTTGTAATAACCATAAAATGGGGGACGATTTAAATAATTATTGTACTGACGGTGTGAGGGAATCGTACCGTATATACTCGAAGGCATTTGAAATGGATATCCATAATTGTTATCGGATGGCATATGTGGATGTGGAAATGGATATGATTGTAATTGTGGCATTCCACAAGATAAACTTGTCAATGAAGGTGTGCGAGAGTGACCGTTACTATAAATATAATCCTCCTCTTCATCAGCATCTTTAAATTAAAAAAACCCCCCAATATAAAAAAAAATTACGTGTTAAAACAAAATGTTTTACAAAAAGTTCGCCAAGCATCGGTAATACTCTACCTTCAGCAGCATCTACGGCACTAGCTACATTGGCCGCAAATATATCAGCTCGTGACATTCCTGTGTAACGCATATCAATTAAAATTTAAATTAAATAAAATGGTATTTCATCGAATACAATGAAACAGTGGGCAAAACAAAATATAAATCCCAAAATTGTCACCGGAGATAATGGAAAATACGCCCACCTTCGGTAATGTTGATTGGCGCGCGTTTTTTCTTTTTTGAAGATTTCATATTATCTGCCATTTTATTAGATCGTTGGTCAGACTATTTAAAAGAATAAAATAGAAAATATCGATTAACATCTATATTTTTTTTCCGTAGAAATTTTGTAAACATGTGATCCATCTTGTACTTTGTTAATTGATAGTTAAATAGATTAATATCAAATAATGAGATTAATTCAAAATTTTTTTTTAAAAAATAATCTCGGCTCATAAATTCTTAAAAATAATTATACTAATAATAATAATATAATAATAGTAATAATAATAGTAGTAATAATAGTAATAAAAAATAGTACAAGCATTTTTATAACTATGAATTGATTTTACCTGCGGACTGTCCTTTTTTCCATTCCAATTACAATAAGCGGTCTCTACAATTAATTGTCTATCAGATTTATTTTTCATATTCCTTGGGGAAAGCGTAGCGAACTTGTCTACCAACTTTTTAGCACGAGGAACTAATTGTTGCTGTTTTTGTGGTAGCTGTGGCTGATGTGGCTGTTGCGTCAGTTCCGTTTGTATATTATTTGAAATGGCAATAGAACCACCACTACTAACGCTACCATTATGGTTTCGTGGTGAAGGTTGAATATACTCCATGGAAGAAGGTTTTTCGGTTATTATGGACTGTATTGGCATACTGGTAGACATATGTTGTGAAAATTGAGTTGAATTTTGCCCAAGCTGCGGATTAACTATATATGAAGACATATTTCTACTTTTAGTTTATTACTAATCTATATAACGGTAAATGGGAAAAAAATTTATTGAGTCGGAGTGTTTATAAGGAAAGGAATTATTATTAATATTCTATGATTTTTAATATAAAGTTTATAAAATTCGTTTATTTTTTTTTGTATTTTTACTAAATTACGAGCTTTATACTTTTTTTTTGTTGTTGAGACCGAGAAACACTTTGGTAGTAAAATGGTATTGTTTATATTGGTGTTATCTATGTCCCAGGTGATAGCGTCTTTGAGTTCTCGTATCTTAATCAACCAAATAATAACCTGTATAAGTGTATATTTTGTTTTGGGGGTACAAACTCTATAAATATGACGATTTTTAAGAGATGTTTTTGTCTCGGAAAGGACAAAACTATTATGAGTTATAGCTACTTTCTTCCTTTTCTTTTTTTTTTTTAATTTTTTTTTTTCGCAGAAGATAAATATGAAGAATGAGTGAGTGTTAAAACATCACAAGGTTTTTACGATCCTACACATTTTAGCTTTTATAAATTTATCAGCAATGCATTATGCGCAAAGGAACTGATAGACTGATAAATCGATAATGTTTAAATAATCCAAATTTGGATACCCTTCTAACCCGCAGGAATGTCTATTAATACAAAAGATGCATTTCCCGTTACACTATTTATCGAAAAAAAATTTTTTTGTGGTTCATCACATGATACCTTTGCATGATATTGCATATTATGCTGAAAAAAATTTTTATTTTCCCTTTTTAAATAGTATTTCGATCTGATTCTTTGTGAATTGTTGAAGAAAAAAAAATTGGTTTAACCACATACTATTATATCGTCAGTTAGATCACATCTGGATTAAAGGAGCATGGCTCATGACCTCGTCATGCAAGAGAATATCATCCATATCGCAATCTCAGGAGTAATACAGGAATGATACGGGATCCTTACAAGTAAATCCAAGGGATTCAACTTTAATTCTGATTTCTAAGCAGAGCTTTGCATAGATCTTGAGATAGGTGTTTACTTGACTTAATGTCAATATAAATATAAAAAAATATATTTTTTAATTTATCCAAACTCTGTCTCATTGAAAAATCAAGAGTTATATTGGATTTTTTTTTTATTTTATATATAAATAAAATAATTCTTACAATGTAAACTAGCAAGTTATGTTATATTAAAATAACATTTAATTGGTCATATAAGATAATACGTGACATTCATTAGTAGGAAAAAAAAAGAAAAATATATATATATAAACATAAAATCAAACCTTAAACTAATTCAAAAATTTTTATTTCTCGTCCTATGACATTACAAATATTTACAACTTAATCATACAACAAAGTTTTATTCAATTACAATAACGGGAGTCACCTTTCGTTTCTCTTCTGTATATAAAAAAAAATTCATTTAAATATATTTGGTTATATTACAAATTTTCAAATAAAGAAAATACTTACGCCAAGCTATCATTCTGCCAGAAGAACTTCCAGCAACAATTAAGTTCAATTTTGGGTGAAAAGCGTTAACAGCTAATTTGATGTGATCAATATATGTCAGAAAGATTGAAAATTAATCAATAATGGTATGTAATTTCTTTTACCTGGTACGGCAGACAATTTCTCATCATGCATATTCCAAATCAATTCACCGGTCACTGCTGAAAATACATCCGATGATCTTTTCAAATTGCCAATAATAAAGTGGGGATGCAAATTTGGATTTGGATTCCATGTGGCGCGAAACATTGTGACCCACCTTTGTCGATAAGAATTACTAATAAATATTAATAATACGATACAAAATCTGACATTCATTGGAGATTTTTACACGCACCTTCCTACTTGATTGTTATGTGGGATTTGTATGCGCTCTTTTAGTTTTCTTTCTTCATCATAATTAAATACCCGTATAAAATTATCATAGCTGGTTGAGGCCACTTGATCTCCCATGGGACTCCAAAATGCGCTAGTCACGGCATTTGTGAAAGTGAATTCTTGAATGTTACTATCTGATCCCAACTTGCGAATATCCCAAAGACGCATTTTCCTATCCAATGACGCGGTAACCATTAAATCGGGACATTTTGGATTTAAAGAAACACATCCGACCTTCTTATCATGAAGTCTGTGACCAGTAAAAACAGTCGTGGGCTCTCGAATGTCTTTTATTCCGACAATCCCTTCATTAGTTGCAAAGTAAATTATTTGCCCAGTTGGGTCTATATCAATATGAGTATAGGTGTAATCTTCGTCAACAAAAGCTTCCATAAACCTCGCTTGATTCAGGTCAAAATAACGAATTGAACCATCATATGAGCATGTAAAAAGCATATTTGAATTTGTAGGAGAATATTTTGAGCAAGTTATGGTTCTAGTATGCGCTTCAAACATAAAGGTTTGACACTCATTGTTGCCATGTTCATTCATATTCGATTCATTAACACTCCAAAAACCTAAAGAGCCAAGTTTATCACCCGCGGACACTAGTATTTTTTCTTTTGAGGGATGAATTGACACACAATATATCCTTTCTGGGGTCACTTTGACAGATGACCATTCTTCAGTTTGAGAGAGAGAGAGTGATCGACACCTCCATCTTATTGCATTTAAACCCTCCTTGCCACCTGGAACAGAATCGAAATTAATCTCGTCCGTTTGACTTCTCTTAACCTCATCACTTTCTTTCCTAGAGTCTTTGACCATAGATAAATCGGAAAGGATTCCTATAAATTGATTAGTTTCATCGATTGATGTGTTAGAACGTATCGCGTGCAAGGCAAGAATGCCCTCTAGACGAGCTTTTTTTTCAACTTTTATAGCTTCCTCCTCGGCCCGCCTTTTTGCTTCTGGTGCTTCTTCTGCTTTGACACCACGTAAGCGCAAAGACTTTCTCATAGGCTGAGTTGGTTTTTTTTCAGCTTTTGGCCTTGGTTTAGGCTTTGGCTTTCTAAAAGAGTTGACAAGTTCTGGTATGTTGAGTTGTTTAAGAATTTCCTCATTTTTACGAATATTTTCGAGACGTTGAAGCTCACTAATAGATAATGCAAGCAGGAATAATCAATAAAAACCTTTCTAATATACTGACGCGTCAAAAGTTTTTTTACTTACTATTCGTTCATAACGTCGTTATTTTCCTTAGTCATTTTATTTTTTTTTTGTAAAATAAAAAAAAAAAAATACAGATTGATCTTTGGTATTAAGAACGCGTCTTTTTTTTTTTAAAAAAAAAATTCTTTTGGTACCTGGTATCTTTAAATAGAAATTCAGTGTTTGATGATAATGATATGATAAATCACAGGTACGCAAACTATTCTGGGATCATTTCACGCAAAGAATGAAATCCGTGGGATTGTTGCTTGCTCGATTTGTCAAATCCTTTTATGACATTGCATGATTTTCCATGTCATCGGAAATTAAATATACACTATAGTAGCATGTGATCTAATTTCCCGATAAATGAGTTATGGCTTAAATCAACATCAAAAAAAAATTTTTTTTTTTCTCCTCTGGTGAAAATTTTTCGATGGGTAAGTAATTTTTTCTTAAAAATTTATTTCGATAATAGAATTTAAATATGATGAAAAATTTTGTTTCCTTTGGCTGTCTGATGAAAGATGAGGATAAAAAAAAAACAAAATCGCTAGAAAATTATATTTCTGATGAAAGTAAAAAAAAAAAAATTCATTATTTAATTTTTTGGAAAATTGTCTAATTTTGTCTTTTTTTTTTTTTATATTGATTTAGATACCATTACGAGTTTTTTCATTTGTTGTATTGTGTTTTAATTAAAATAATAAAATTTTTTATATATTGATATAATCAGAATTACTCATCTCGTAAATCTATTAAGTAATAAAGGAATCATTTCAAAAATTTTCTTTGGGAAAAAAAATCACTAGCTTTGGCAAAAATTGGCTAAAGGCACATGATTCCGCTATAAATAACTCGTCTATGGCTTTGTGTTTTTTTGTTTAGTTTATTTAGTTTATTAAAAGAATATCTATTTTCCCTATTTCGCCTATTACTAATTTTTTTTTCGTATGATTTCGGCCTTAACGACGAAAAGGCATGATTTACATATGACATGATACTTGCGAAATTTCAATACTAATAATATTGACATTTGTCATATTCTTTCGATAGGTTTATTTCAATCATTTACTACATATAAATTTATATAGTTGTGTAACCTGTCATTTAAATATATACAATGAAAAACATATCGTATCACAAATTTCCGCGTGGAACTTTAAAAGAATCATACAAATCATGTATAAATAATGAGTTTCAATTATATAAAAAAAATATTGACTAAGTTACTTTTATTCTTTTTTCCTTCTTCAACATAATAAATAAAAAAAATTTTTTACTTTTTGTAAATTAAAATTTCTTTATTATCAAAATGTCGCAACAACCTTCGATCCTTGTAAATAATAAACGTCGTAACTTGATGGGGTCGATGTTTTTACCTGCGCCACCTCCACCTTTTTTCGAATCTAAAGAGCAAGAAAATTTTAAACTATGTAAGGTGAACCCGAATAATGGAGCTTATCTTCCACCAACACCAAATGAAAAATCCGGACATGAGGAATGGCATGATAATAATCAAGACGATGGCTATTTCTCTTTTCCTGCAACTTATCTAGCTGAATCTCGTTCAAAACATTCCACTCACGCATTTGCTAGATTAGAGACAACAGAAGAAAATAATGGGCCATTTATACAAGATACAACTGTAAATCTACCGAAAACCACTTCACATGATAATAATTTAGTACTACAATTAGAAGACGCAACCATACCTCCAATATCGCCTTCGCTGTCATGTTCAACTTCCTCTTCAACTTCTGAAGAATCTGATATTGATGATCTAAACCAGCATAACAGACATCCAGTCTCGCAGAAACGTCTAACTAGAGATTTTGATTCTTACGTGTCTGAATTCATTCAGCATAGTGGATATACTATGAAGGGAACAAAGAAACCGAATTCCCCTTCCATTTTCAAAAATATCTTTTAAATTATCTTTAATTGATACTAGTCCCTAGCTCTATGAATGAATGATTAATATTCATTTTCTTTTTTAAAAAAAAATTATTATAGTAATTTTATTGTTTCACGCACCTCAACTTCACTTTATTTTATCCCTTAATTCTTCATTGCTTCTGTACATAGTAGTCTTGTAATTTTTAATTCTTAATATTTCATTTCATGATGAAAAATGTCATTATTTGGAATTATTTATAAAAAAATAATTCTCTCATTTAAACCAAAAATATACTAATAAAATAATCATAAAAAAAAGATATTACAATAAATTTAATAAAAAATTTGAAATATTTTACATAAAGAATTAAAAGATTGACGGAAATTTGGTACTTATAAAATGTAATCAATCTTTTGTGCTTTATAAATTAATCCGACTTGCAAAAAAAAAAAAGTACCAAATGATTCCGATATGATCAACTAGACGGAAGAGAAATATAGTAAGATAACAAACCTCTTGAATAGAATGATTCTCGGTTTCTGTGAAGACCTATTCCTTAAAGGCCTCGCAAAGGCTCCATAATGCTTCTCTTGTTTCCAAAAACTCTTCACGCATTAATCCTTTATCTCCTCCCTCATATTCAGGAAAAAGATTAAAATCCAAATTCTGAAGCGTGTTTGCAAGTTGTTGTAGCAAGTTGTGAGATTTAGTGGAAATGGTAAGATGCGAGAGCGCAGGAACCGTATGAACTGATGGTATTTGATCACTCGGAATCGACATATCAATATATCCATCAGGGTTCAAGTGTGTAAACAATTTTGGAAACGACTTTGTAATAGGATAAGTAACGCCAGTTGAAAAAAAGGACGAGCTTCCGCTATTTAAAGTCTCAAACCGCTGGAATATTTCTGCAGTAATTTGAGATGCACTTTTTTGACCTTTCGCTGGCAAAAGTTCAAACTTATTGGGTAGTCCCCTTATTACAACGGATTGCCCTAACGTTGTTATTGCTTGCTATAAGCAGTATGTGGAATATTCGATTAGAAAATAATTAAAATAAGAATAAAAATCTTTAAATTATACGTACTTGTCCATTCGAAGCCATTGATAAATCTTGTATAACATTATTATTTGATGTAGGCAAAAGCCTATCAGCATCCACTTCACCAAAATTACTGATTGGTAAAGGAAATGCCAAACCAAGCGATCCTAATTTTGTATTTCCTCGCCAATTAAGCCGATTTATCAAGTCAAACATAGATATAAAATTATGACGCGTTCTAAATTAGGAATATAAATACAATTAAACCGATTTGTTACAATAAAATATAACAAATAAATAATTTACCTGAAAGGTAAAGTTGAAGTTTCGATAGCCGCGGAAACAACACTACTCGTGTGATATGGTAAATTTATCTAGTAAGGTAAGAAAAATCTTAATTAGGAAAAGTAGAATATTTGGGTCATTTGTAATTAAAATCGCGTCGCAAATCATACATTTGGACGGAAAAATTGGGATCTTGTGCTAGGAGTATTTATAATATTAAATAAAGAAGACAATTCTATCAATTGTGTTGTACTAAACGAAACATTTAATATTTGTTTGTAATATGATTTCTAGACAAAGGAAAATGAAAGCATCGATTAATATGATGATACGATTTTCAACTTGTTATTCGTATTATTACAATCCTGCTTACATGTCCTTTTGGTTCCCAGCTTCGATTTTCGGTAATTCCAAAACTTTCGATAGCAGTCTTTGGATATTCCTCACGTAATCGTTCAAGAAAGCTACATGCAAATCCTCCATATCCGTCAATTATACCAGTGAATACTTGAAATCCCTGAATCAGTTAATCGATGTCTCTAAGTATTATGTGATAGATTACAAAACTTTTACGTGTATAAACTTACCTGAATTGCATCGCATTCTTCAGCGAAAAACCTAAAGTTTTCTTCGAAGGAATCTAAATCCTATTGCATTTACAATAATATTTTAAGTCATGCTTTACTATATTTAAATTTTTTAATTTGTCAATTACCTTTTGATGCTCAATAAATGCGCCTTTTCCATATGAGAAAGTATCAAAAGGCATAAATTCATCCTCAAATTGGTATTGAGTTATAGCATTAATACTTTTGGGGTGATAATATACACTATTAAAATCAGACCAATATTGAACTGCGTCGTCTAATTTGAAATCTTTGACTTCGGTTTCTACTTCTATCCTGCTGTTTGTTTCTTCTGAATAAATCAGCTCCTCCTTTGTGAAGATAATAATATTTAATAATTATAGTATTAAAATGGTTCAATATAATATCAAGTTAAATACTTCTTCTTTTTCTAAACCCTGTAAATATTCGTTCTTTGGATAAGGCATTTGAGCATGTATTTCGGACCGCAAGCCCCTAAAATACAATAAATACAATATGTAAATAATTTCTTGTAAGAAAAATTTATAAAATTGTAAGCATAAGAAAACCATTTACCAAGAAGAAATATGTAATTCTGATTCTTGATTCCCAGATGACTCTTCATAAAGCCGATTCATTTTCTTTAGGGATCCAAACCCACCTAAATAGTTGATGATTAGCTATTTTGCTTCGATTTGAAGTGCATTTAAAAGTTGACTAACCTTTTAAATCATATAACAATAATCGTGGTGTATAAGTTTCAACACCCTTTTAGTATTAAAATTAACATTAGTTAAATTTTGTGAAATTTGCAATATACCAATCATGAAACGAACCCTTTGAGTGACTCCCACACGAAATAAAATATCGTGTAGTAGTTCCGGTTCAGAAGCATTTGAATTCTCTTCAAAATCAAATTGTGCTTCCTATAAATAAACAAGATAATATAATTAATATGAAACAAATATATTTAATTTAAATACGATAACAACCTGAGAATTCCAAAAATGAGTCCCCACAAAATTTGCAAAATGTCCAAATTGCAAAGTTAATATTTCATGCATGGTAAGAGTTTTAAAGGAGAAAAAATATATTGATTATCGTTTTTTATCCGTTATAAAGTCACGTTATCTAAATTTAATAATGATCAACTGATCTTTGAAATATATATTTAATATCTTATTTTAAACCATCAGAAATTTCTTAATACTACTCTTTTTTCGCAAAATGTTCATTAATGTCCCAACTCATATGCTGATAATTTATTTGTTACAGACCCTAGATCATATTTTCTTTCCTCAAGCTCTCTGGAATAAAATCTATTATCGATGGGTCTGGGATATATTTTATTGTTGTCCTGCCGCGTGAAATTCATATTACATGAATGGACGTGTAACTTCGTATAGAGGAGAAAATTCTGCCGAATGATATGAATATTATAGAAGTGATCTATTGTTTAAACGTGGTAAAAAAAACACATTGATTCAGAAGAAATGGTCAACGCAAGAATCCTGTAGTTTCATCTGTTGGAAATTAATTATATGAAAAAAAATATTAAATCCAGAATCATTAAAATATTTATGATAAATTCAATCGTTAACCTATTCACTTCATTCATTCGCTATCGAATGAAGAGTTCTCAAATTATACTATCACTGGAATATATTGCTGAGTCCAAACAACAAAGGATCGACAGAAGTGGAAATTTTTTTTTTTCGCGTTTATAATTTTTTAAAAAAAATCATTTATTTATTTTTATATATAATATATATATAAATACAATACAATAAATTATATTACAAAGTTCGATTAAATTAACTTATCATAATGTGCAGCATTATGTGAAAGAATGAAAAGTTTGCCCTCATCTCCCGCTACCCATAATTGTCTATTATTACCACCTAACCTAATACATCTACCAACCAACGGTACATTAAATTCATGACTTAATTCCAAACTATTATAATAAGGCATAAAGTTCAAAATATTAATAAAATAAAAATAAAAATAAAATGAATTGACTGAATCAATACAAACCTAAGAGCAAAATATACACAGATTTGTCCTTCTTCATTAGCCGTAAGTATAATGTTTTTATCCGATGCAGAAATCATATGATTTAATTGATGGGTTATCTCAATAGAATTAAGTAACTTTCCATTTACACTATAAGTATGAAGATAATATTCATCCTGGAAATAATTTGTATAAAGTAAATTATCAATAAATATTAATTCCGATTATAAATAAATTCCAAGTAGTCAACTTACGTTTACTTCTGTGTAAACTACAATATTTGCATCTCTGGATATACAAACAAATTCTACTGTAGCATCGGGATCATTCATGGGTCTCAAGGTTCGGATATAATGAGCATTTTGCAGCGAGTGCACTATACATGTTCCATCCTTTATTAAATAAAAATGTTTGGTTATATAGATGAATATGTATGATAAGCATGTTAGTCATGTACCACTATGTATCGTTACGAACCTTGGATCCACTTATTAAAATATCATGTTCTGCATTAACGACGACGCACGTAATCTATTAAAATAAAATTCTCCGTTATGCTTCATTATCGCATGTTTATAATATAAATACGTTAACATGTCACAAAGGTTACCTCGTCATCGTGACCGTAGAATGCATGTATCGGTGTATGCTCAATATTCAAAAATTCATTATCATGTGTCAAATTGACCTTCCATGATAACAAACTTGAACTTCTAGTTCCTGTAACGATAGTTCTTCCATTTTCACTTATCACTACCGTTGTTACGACATGTACAAAGGAGTTAAGGGTAATGATAAAATATTTGACTACCAAAAATAAAATTCAAATATCAAAGAAAAAAAAGGATATCATCATGTCCCGAAATACTATCGATGGTTCGTCCTGTCTCAGTTAATGACACTTTTATTGTGTTATCCCAGTGACCAGCGCTAATAATAACTTTTCCATCCTTGCTGCACGCAAAGCATCTTGGTGAGATCACCGCGTCAAAACAGTATGGACTACTCAATTTACTAAAATATAGAAGATATTATCAAATTATAATCATCAACTTTTCAACACCTTATAACAAATTATGACTTAAATACCTCTTATATTGTAAACCTGGATCGACTTCCATTGTGAAAGGTATTTCTGGTGCAGTCGACTTCCTTAAAACTCGATGGCAACCGATTATACCATTTTCATCAATTGTTATAACTTGTTGTGAATCATTAATAGAATACAATTCATTATCTGGATTCGGCAAATCTACTAAATATAGTCGACCACATTTCAATTCAACGACAAACCGTTGATGATTATAATCCGAGTTTAGAAGATCTTTTTTCAAAAAATCCCTGCTGGGAAGGCGCTTCGGATGGGGTTCAGTTAATAATTGAGTCGGAGTTTGTCCAAAATGATAAATTTGTTGCTCAATACTCTTTCTTTCAACAGGATCTTGAATACTATCGATATTTATGGCGCCTTCATAAGTTAAGTAATAAAATATATTATAGGCTTTGGCGGCTTCTTCACCAGTTTGTTTATAACCAAAAATAAGATCTAATTACATAATCGTTCAAGAAATAAATTATTAAATTTGAATCTATTAACTTTTATTCACAGTAAACAAGAAAACAATTCTAAATAGTATTTTGAAGTTTACCTATCCAATGATGTAGGTTTTCCGAGACATAGTCTGATTCTAACGCTTCTCTATGAATACGTATGAATTCTTCCGGAGAATTCGCCCACTTTGGTAGCCCTACATTCCCTACATGCGTACCGTCTTGTCTGACCTAATCGCAAATTAAATTAAGCAATTAATAAAATTTGCAATTAAAATGAACTGGACCAAATAAGTAAAAGTAATTACACCAAGATCAAAATCATTATGATTCGTAAGAAATTCGGGATGATAGAAGAACTCGGGAATTAATTCTCGGACATCTCCACTTGCAGTAAGGACAGATTTCCATGTATCTTGTATTGAATGAAATTGTCTATCTGCATGATCGAACCTTCCTCCTTGCAAAGAAATATGTACAGAAGTATACGGCTCCAATCGAACCAAATAACAAGATACAGTGGCGGCACTTGAATAATGCGTTCCATAAAGAAATTTTTTGATTCGCCCTGATGGATCCTCAAAGTTTTCATAACGTTCTACAAACTGTTCTAAGCGATCAGGGTTTAAAGCTCCAATAGGTTTTGTTAAATCACGATAGATATTAGGATTAGACAAATCTATCGTTTCAGATTCATAATCGTTTAAAATCCAAGGAAACACAAAATACTGCGTTAAATCATTAAAGGATCTTCCAGCGATGCTATTTAAGTGCATAAGGTATTCAAAGTTTGAAATCTCATGAGTTTTCCATCGTTCAGTTAGCCTTGACCGTTGAAATATTTTTGTTGGAGATTTTGTGTCCTGATTTATCATTGAACTTGGTCGAAGTGAAATAATTTTCTTGAATAAACGCTTATTATCCCTCGGATCTGGAAAATTGAAAAAATAATTTGTTTGATCTGTTAAGAATAATTCAAATGCACTCCGTCTCAACATATATTTGCGCATATGAATTTCTCTTATGTCAGAAATCGACCATTTTTTGTCACGCAACATCTCACTATCCACTACTATAGATCCTTGTTCGATATTATTAAGTTCTTGTAACAAGTTTCGTCGATCTACAAAGAAGCAAAGATGGGTTGATGTAAGTTCAATCTTTCCCTTAATTGCAGAAAGAAGGACGATCATTTCACAATCTGTAGAGAATAATTTCATGTCTGAAGAGATATCAATAGTTTCAACTATTTTATCCCCAGTGATAAGATTCCATTCCTGATCTTCAGATGAGGCAAGACTTTCAGATTCAGACACTAAGGAAGATCCACTAAATCCCCATCCATCTGTCCATGGTTCTACTGCATTTAATATGGGAGTCGAGTTATTACTACAATCTACATTAGCTTTCTTAATTCTTTGAATGTTCACATTCTTTGCTTTGTTTGCAGAATTGGCAATAGGGGTCTTGTCTCTCTTTGCACTTGCTTCACGATGAGCATCATAATCATAATTTATGGTTAATTTCCTTCGCATCCTTGAATAATTTTCTTTCCTATCAAGTTTCCAATGTATATCGTTTTGACGTACTAAAGACCAAACACCACGCTCTTGTGTCAATTCATGAAACTTTGATAGCCATTTTCTAGAAGTCCGCATATCATCATTCTTCTTATCAGCCTGGATACTTGTCAGTCGATTTGACTCCTCGTCCTTATAAGACTTGACGATTGGAATCATTTCAATTTCAAAAGCTTCTTCTGATTTGACGGATAATAATTCTTCTTTCTTGGAACGATTTAAAAAAAGGTTGACCTTCTTCGAAAGTCGTTCTACCATTCTTCGCACCATTGTAAATTCGTCTTCATTTGCAGCTTTCATTGCGGGTACTATATATTTGTCATGTATTGATATCCAATTACGAGAGGTGGCAAACTCTACAAGAGCATGGCTACTGAATTCTTTCCCAACCCATAATGAGTCAAATGTTTCTTTAAATGATCCTTTTTCACTAAGATGAACAAGATAGTTTTTACTTTTATGTATGATAAAAAAATAAGCGAACAATATTTTTTCATCGTATGAACCATTGGTCACTTGTGAGGTACTGTAAAAGGAAAGATAATATATATACATTTTTTTTAATTAGAAATATTAAAATTTGAAATAAAAGTACGACAAATTTATTAAATCATACATGAAAGCTTCGTGCATTTCTCCCAATAACATAAGGATATATTGCTGAAAAGTACCACTATCATGACAACAAACATCATCCGATGATTCCCTTCTTCCGTTTTTTGGATTCACGGAATTTATTTTTATATGTCTTTCAACAAATCCCATCAACTGATCTAAAGATTTTTTACGTAGTTCACTATCAGGAGCAGAAATACCAGCAATTAAAGTTCTTAAAACCATTCTACAAATTTCACCAGGTTGCTGTTAAAAATATCAATAATATTATTATTTTACTCAACATTAGCATTAAAGGAAATTCACAAAGAACTACACTGACCATTTCCCTCTTAGATGGTAAGTCTAATCTCCAATTCCCTGTTTTATCTAAAGAATCTATAACCTCTAAATATATAATGGAAAGAGCTTGGTTTTCTTCCCACGGATTACTTGCACTTTGGAAGATCATATCATCATAATTCTATGAAGTAATAATTGTTTGGACATTTAAGGTTACAGTTTTCAAACGATTGTGATATTATCAACTTTTATTACCTTGAGGGGAACTGATTCTAAAAAAAAAAATAAAAAATATATATTATTAACATTATAATAAATAGTAAATCTAAGATTAACTTACCATATCCAGAAGAAATGCTTGAGGACGAATAACTTCCCCCAGATCGGGAAGAGTTTTTTTGAACAACAGCTTGTACCAGATCTTTGTGATTAAAAAGGATTTCTTCTGCTAGAGTCAACAAGTGCATCACATTTTGCTGTTGAAAGAAAATTTTTATAAAGATTCAAGTTTGATTGGTGAAAAATGGGACAGTTTTTTTTTTTTGAATAAAATAAATAAATAAAATAACCAATACCAGTTTCGTAATAGAAAACGATGCGCTAAATGACGTATTGATTTCTCGAGATGCAAGAGAAAGCATATGAGTAAGAAAAGAACGAATGCTTTCTAAACAATCTTGACGACCACTAGTCCAAATAGTAATAATAGTTTCCTCTATAACTCTATAAGCATTTTTATCAATTTCAAATAAATTCCAAATGACAATCGCAATGAACTCTAAAGCCCAATCAGCAGTTTCTTTATTGTCTCGTCCTGTAAGCATTCCATCTTGACCTCCATAAACCGGTACAAGGTGAATAAGATAAAGTTGCCAAAACCAAAATTTATATAGTTCAGTACAATACGAAATGTTTTGCTTGAAAATTACAATTAAATTTTCAAGGATTCTGCATTGGACAATCCTTTTCGTTCCTTCTGAATCTAAAAGTGCCAATATAGCAAGAATTATCCGAAAATTTTTTATCTTGGGCAAAATTAATTGAGAAATTTCATTTTCGTTTTTATCCACAAATTCAAAGGTATCGCTATATTGCTCTAATGACCAGCATAATAAAGCATGATAAATACCAATTGTCATTGGTGCATTATGCATTAACTTTATCAGATTAACAGGTTCCTTATCTTCAAAACGTAATTTTTTGACAAAGCTTATCGGCGTTGAAGAATTGGTCATCAGAAAGGTTACAACCTTAATACAATCAATACGAACATTTTCATCTCGTCGTTTCAAAAGTTCACATATAATTTCGAATCCTCCATAAGAAACAAAGATATCGATCATTTCTTTTTTTGTTATGAGTAAATCCAAGAGAAGCATCAATATCTCGTGTACATGAGTATCATCTTCGCTATATAAAATATTCCTAAACAAGAATAATGCCTCATCCTTTGTGATGCTATCCTTAAAATAGGAATTGATGATAGAGATCACTTTTCCTCGTAGTTCCTTGAGTTGTGATGGTTTTGGTCTTGTAACTCCTGCCGTAGTATGCCTGTGCGATGCAGAATATTCTCCTTGTTTATACCAATAGATGTTTTGTAACACATCCAAGAAGAACTGAATGCCAAATAATTTTCTACACATTTGTTTCCTTGCATCAACGAAACTTTTCAAAAAATCAATACAATAGTCTTGAATTTCAATAGAAGTATACATCCATAATCGAAATTCAAAAAGGAGATTAAAATAAACTTCACGTGAAAGTTCCTCATTAGATGACAAGGTGCCTGCTAATGCCATCATACTTTTGAAGGCTGATATTGAAAAATGTCGAGGGCCTACTTGTTGAAGTAAGAGACTAATAACCTTAATCCCACGGGATTTGAGAACATGAGACTGACTCCTTACATTATTTTGAAGCAACGACGATAAAAGAGCAAAGAAAGACTTGCATGGTCCTTCGGAATCGAAGAAATCATCTTGTGATCCAAATGGTGCTTGCAAATTTACTGAATCCAAGTCATCAAATCTCATAATCATTGGGAATAGAATTTCAACATCACCTAGGCAATGTATTGCATTTTGCAGACTAAGAGTTGAGCACTTTTCTATACCATGTAAAGTAGCTGCAATTGGCTCTTGATATGATGAAGGACGAGGAGCTAGATTAAAACATATTTTATCTTCTGACGCTTTCACATGAAGGATGAAAAGAATCTTTTGGTGCAACGTAATTCCATCAAATAGATTACTTTTCAATGTTTTATCTGCTTGATAAGGATGAAATTGAGAAGCATGATTTGGCCCGAGAACATAAAGGTCGTTAATTTGCTCTTTTGTAAGAACTTCAGCTATCATGTATAAAGTTGTAATTTGACCACGTAAACAATTATAAAATCTACTCGTTGACACCGAAGCATTCATGTTTGAAGATCTATCGTCAGAACTTGAGGAATTTACAAACACAGATGATGCCCCAATTGCGCAATATTTGAACGAACGTGAATAAAATTCGGTCGGATACTCTAAACGAGACTTGAATGTAATATTTCCATCAACGACCACATTTATTTCTGCTGGAGTTGAGGTCCATCCGCGTTTTGCAGTGCTATGAGTTATAACTATAAAATACCATCTTTTTTGAGTGAACTTTAAATTATTCATAACGGCCGTAGAAACAACTCGTCCTTTTTTACAGGAGAAGCAAAGTTCATTGTTCTCGAAATAAGCCTCTATCCCATCGCCATTTTCTGTAAAGAAAGAAAAAAGTCTCGGAGTAAAATTCCCAAATCCGATGTGTTCTTTTGGTGATGGTGCCGCATCCAACTTAATCCAAGTGAATAAGGAATAACCATTTGTTGGAAATTTTTCTATAGGTGATAGTTCTATTCCTGAATCAATTCCTTTCAGATAAAAGAAATTTAATGTGCTCTGTTTTTGTGAAATTGAATATAACAATTTCACCAATGCACCTTGATACCAAGCAGAATCTCCTTGGTAAGATGTATCACCTTCATATTTATTACAAATCATATTCAATATTAACTTAACATCGGATACCTTCACGGAGTAGGAACAAATGATTTCCAAAAGTCTCATAGTTAATTCTGCAACATCATTACTTTGCCATGATTTCCAGATAATGCCTTTCAAAAGTCTACTAGTGATATTTGCTTTAAACATAACCCATTTATTCATATCAGAATATTCCGCAAAACATTTTAACCGTTCTATGAGCTGTTTTTTGGCAGAATCTTCTAGAGTAGGTAAATAATACAAGAGCATCTCTAACGCACGACTACTTATCATGAAAGGAACAGTTCCATTCACTTGCCATTCTTCATTATTTGTTAATAAACTACTCAAAACTTCCAAACTATTTTCCACTTCAATTGTTTGTTCAACAAGTGAATAATCGGTTGCAACACATGTATCCAAAGAGTCTACTGTGCTATAAATTTCAACACTCTCGGTGTTTTTATATATGTTCAAGGTATCCATAATGATATGAAATAATTATAAATCTCTTTCGAGTTTCTAGTACAAGTCTTTTACTACTCAGGAAGAGTGGAAAAAAAATTAGTCAAATTGTTTTTAAAAGAAATCTGAGTTGATGTGAAATTAAATTTTATTACCGGAAAGAAATAATAAATAAATAATAAATAAATAAATAAATAGATAAATTTTATTTTATTAAAATTTTTAAATAATAAAGTTCAACGCAAAAACTGATAAGATATAGAAACCTTTATTTATAATCTACAATCAAATGCAAACCGTGATTTATCTAATAATCTATGACCTAAATCAAGCATTAATCATCAATTAAATTATATCGAGAGATAAAAAACTGTGAGAATTCGTCACTTTACCTGATGAGATTCTATGATACCTCACGGTTTTATATTAAAATTTAATCAAGTGAATTGACATGATAATACGATCAAGTAAATTTATCTAATGGAAATGAATTTTCTAAATTACGATGAGGATTTAAAATTTATTATAATCCGCAGCAAATACTTCAAAAAAAGGAAATGATTTTTTAACAATAAAAAATAATACATACCAAATCGAGCAGCAAAATACCAAAAAATAAAAATTTAGTACGAAAAGTGAGAAAACAAATAAACAACGTCGAGTTTTTTTTTGGTTGATTCTGCTCTGTTTATATACCTTTTTCTCAGGATTACATCAAAATAGAATGTTTAACAAGATTACGTATTGCATTGCATGTATAACGTTGCTACAATATTTTTGGCGCCAATAAAGATCAACACTGCGCGGTGTCGAAAAAAGATCAAAAAACATTCGTCTTTGATCAAAATATCTGACAAAGTTACTTATACGTCATAAAAACATCATTGTTGAAAAAACAAAGAAAACAAGTATGAATCCTGTAAAATATATATTTTATAATCGCGATAAAATCAAATAAGTCACGAATCATTTCAAAAGCGCTTTCGGTATTAAATTTCGATATTTATTACAGCAAAGAATCATGGAATCGTTGGTATTATTTATTTTCGCTTTTGTACTTATTTGAGTTAGCGGATGATTTTCCGGGTATTAAATGACTTTGATTTTGCAAATTCTACTCAAATCGGATTTGCAATCTCGAGATTTAAAACGTTACACGTATGAAAGGTCTACAATTTAAATAATAATTTTATATTTTATATTTTTCAATATGGTTCGACCTTGTGTTATATGTGATAAAGAACGAGCGGTTGTAAAAAGACCTAAAACAGGACAAAAAGTTTGTAGGGAATGTTTTTATTATGTATTTGAAACAGAAATTCATAATACTATTATAGATAATAAATTATTTAAAAAAAGTGATAAAGTTGCCATTGCGGCTTCTGGAGGAAAAGGTGTTATTATTCACTTCTAATTTGTTTTAATTTTTATTTATTTAAGAATTTTTAATGAACATATTTTATTTGCGTTTAAGATTCGACTGTATTGGCTCATGTTATGAAACTTTTAAACGAAAGATATCAATATGGATTAGAACTTTTTCTTTTATCAATTGATGAAGGAATAACAGGATATAGAGATGATTCGTTAGAGGTATAAATTTAATAAATCAACTAAAATTCTAATATAAACATTAATGCTTTATCTTTTTTTATTTTTAAAATAATAAATCATAAAGACAGTGAAAAGGAATCAACAGCAATACGAATTACCTCTTAAAATCGTTTCTTATAGCGAATTATATGGATGGAGTATGGATCAAATTGTAAAGGAAGTTGGGTTGAAAAATAATTGTAGGAATTAAAGTTTTAAATTTTTTTTTTTTTTTATTCTTTGAAATAAATTAATAATATTTATTTTTTTTGGTTTCAGGTACTTTTTGTGGTGTATTTAGACGTCAAGCATTAGATAGAGGAGCTGTTATGCTTGACGTAGACCATATCGTAACAGGACACAATGCCGATGATATTGCCGAAACAGTTTTAATGAATAGTATGTTTGCTTGTCTTTTTTTAAAAAATATAATATAAATATAAAAATAAATTTATTGGTATTAAAATTTATATTCTCTCGTTTAGTTTTGAGAGGAGATATAGCAAGACTTCAAAGGTGTACAGAGATATGTACGACTGGGGAGGGATGTATACGACGATCCAAACCTTTCAAATATACTTATGAGAAAGAAATTGTCATGTGAATGCTTTATTTGAGCCTTACTTTTATTTATTTTATCTTTTTTCTTTGATTCAAAGTATGTTAAAATTTATTGTTTTCTTTAGGTATGCGTATTTTAAGAAACTTGATTATTTTTCAACAGAGTGTATATATTCACCTAATGCATACAGAGGTCATGCTAGAACATTTTTAAAAGATTTAGAAGTTATCAGACCAAGCGCCATTATTGGTAACTAATTTATAAGAAAAGCTTTTTTTATAACTGAACTATAAATATTTTTAAACATTTAGTATTTTATTTTTAAAGATATTATATATTCAGGCGAAGCATTTGAAGTTAAAAAAGAAGTAAAATTACCCATTCAGGGAGTATGTAAGAGATGTGGATATATGTCAAGTAATGAATTATGTAAAGCATGTGTACTATTAGAAGGGTTAAATAGAGGTTTACCAAAGTATGTTAAAATTCATTTTGTTTTGATTAAATAATTAAAATTTTTATTTATAATTTATTTTGTAATTCATTTTTTTTTAGGCTTGGAATTGGTAAAACCCAAAGAATGGTAAATATTAAAGAAAAAATTTTTTTTATTTGAAAATTATTTTATTTAAATTTCTTTTTTTTTTAATAAAAATAGAGAAAAGTTCATGGAGATATGCCACGAGATACAGCTATAATACCTCATTTTAATAGAATTCAAATTAGTAATGGTAATTATGATGATAGCAATAAGCCTAACGAAGAGTTACAAAAAAACAATAAAATTGATCAAGGATAATTTCGTAATGAAATATTGTAAATTTGTCGTGTAACGATATAAAAGAATGATGTATAAGAAATTTAGATATCTATAATTGAAATAAAATTTATCATCTCTAATAGCATACTAATACTAGTAAAGAAGGACTTAAATGTTTAAACAAACATTTGATTTAGATCGATTCTTCATTATTATTCTTATCAGATTTTATAGTATTCTTCTTCTTCTCCTAATAAAAAAAGATTTTATTATTATCTATTATCATTATTATTATATATTTATTTTTTTCTTTTATTATGATTATAACTTACGTAAACACTTTTAGAAGTTTTATAATATATGACGGCTAACAAACTTCCTAAAACGGGTCCGACAAAATAAATCCAAATTTCACCATAAATTTTTCCAGTTGCAAGAGCCGGTCCGAAAGTCCTTGCTGGATTCAAACTAATTATATAACGAAGATGCAATTAATGGTCGTTTCGCGTTAATGGTTTCAAAAATGATCGATTTTAAGCTGCTGACGCGTTTAGATCGCTTACCTTGCTCCTGTATATGGCCCAGCTGAAAAAAAAAAAAAGTATTTTCAATAAAAAAAAATTAAAAAAAAGGAATTTACATAACGATATTTACCAACAAGTACGGAAATAAATAAAGAAGAGCCAATTCCAAAAGCCGCATTAAATTTGCCTTGTTTTTCAATAGCTAGCACGAGAACAGCTAAAGTTAATATAGAAGTAGTAATCATTTCCATTATGAATCCTTGAATAACAGAGGTTCCACTTCCCTTCAAAGAGTACATGTAATTAAGTAATTTTACTGGTTAGTAATTATATATTTTAAAGGTAAGTTGGGATAATAACGCCATGTACCTACAAGAGTTGTTATAGCTGCAACCGGAACGGGTTGAATTAATTGTATGAGCAATGATCCCACCAATGCACCAGCGAATTGTGCAATTATGTAGTAAATTCCTTGAAGTGTTTCAAATTCACCAATAGCCACTAATGCTATTGTAATAGCAGGATTTAATACTAATATATGTTCGAAAAAAAAAACATATGCGTTAGTTAGTCAACCTTTATTGAGACAAAAGGAAGATATGTTACGTGTTTTTTTCAAGTAAAGAACTTACCACCACCAGAGACTTCAGCCCAAAGCCATACATTTATCATTAATGACCATCCAAATGAGAACGCCGTGGCGAGAAGTGTTCTACACGATTTGAAATTCTTTTTTTTAACGAAATGTTTGCCAATATGGATATTATGTATTAAAGAAAAGGAATTTTACTTACACTCCATCGGAACCAGGTCCAGCCAAGGCAGCTATGGCATCACTGCCTCCAAGTCCTTCATTTTATATAATCAATTCATATTAATAATTTTCATAAGACGTCAAATAATAATACATTTTTATAAATTACCCATGAATAGGAAATGAGCGGTTCCAATGAATTCTGCTATTGCTTGTATAACTTCTTTTTGCACCATCTTATTTTTAATTTGAATTTTTAAAAGAAAAGTGAATAAATCAATGAAAAAAAAAACAAAAAACAAAAAACGCGGAAATGAATTGTTTAAATAATAATAAAAAAAAAGTTACGTGTCAAATATAATCGCAAAGATTGTTTGTATTTAAGCCACGAAGTCTGAAAAAATAGAGGCTTTAAAAATGTGGCTATCAGCATTCACATACTAGAAATTTATTATTTGAAAAGGATTTGATGCTTTAATATCTTGACACATTTCGTTAAGAATCAAAAATTGCTAATTCTTTCTTTATAACAACTTTTAGCCACCACAAATACCATCTTGAAATGTACATGTTTATCTCAATCAATGATTTCTTCCGTAGACGAAAGGATCGGAACCATGACGTGAAAAACTGAAAAAGTAAAATGGTTGAAAATGGTGAAATTTTTATTATATAAAACTTTATTTGTCGATGTTGATAGAACTCCGATTCAATTACGTAAAAGTGTCTAAATTATGCATATATGGAAAGCATTTTAGTTTGATGCAACTGCTGCGGGAAGAGAAGAATGGACACCAATTGAAAACTAATAAGATTCAACCAATTAATGAGACGGGGATGTTGAAACATTACAGGCACCAAGAAATAGTTGGTGTATCTGATGTTTGAAAATCCAATGCTTATTTTTCACTTTTCAATCATCGATCCTCGAAAAGAACGAGGATTTTTATTGGCCGCGTTTTATTTTAACAACGTACCGCAGTTCATGTCACGTGTTTAATTGTGAACCTTTTAGGTAAATTGGCGTAAACGCATGTATTTAATAAATCCCTTTTTGGTAAACAAAAGACGTAATTGACATTCATTTATGGATATCTCAAATCAAGATTGAAATTATTTTATTATAATTATTCTAATAGATCATACATTATTATTATTATTACAAAATAAATTAAGAATTTTATTTTAAAAATCAAATAATTATTATGTTATAATTACAATAAGTTATTTTTGCTTTTCAAAAGATATATATAGTGTTGTAATAATAATGATAATGATAATGATAATAATAATATAGCTATTTTCTTATTTCCACACGATATTAACATTTTTGATTTCACCATTTTCTTTGATCACAAAACTTTTCAAAATTCTAGAATGTAATTCTGAGGACGATTGAATTACATCTTCCAATTCTTTCTCGTCTCCGATACAAGAAGCCTCAAAACCTTTTAAGAATTCTCCGGATCTCTCAATGAAATTCTTAAAAACATCAAGAGAAATTTCCCAATTACTAATATCCAACTTTACGATTTTCGTTGTGGAAAAAATATCGGTAAATTCTTTCATAAATTCATTAGCCTTAAATTTTGGTTTATCATTATTATAATACCCAACGTTAAGTAACCTTAAACTATTCTTGGATTGTAAAAGCTTAAAAAGTGAATCAACATCAGATTGATTATCAATATTTACATAGAGATCATTTAAATTGGAACAATATCTTGATAGATACAAAAGTATATCAGGTATATCTAAATTATTTTGATTTAATTGAACATTTTTTAAATTATATCCATTCTTCTTAATAAATTCTTTCAACATATCTATAGATTGATTCAAAAAAACACAATTAAAAAATATTAATTCCTCAAGTTCAGGATAAATGATTTTACCTAAAGCAGTAATTGGTTCATCAAAATAAACTCTATCAAAAGAGAGTTTCCTCATCTTTTTACATTTTGATAAATGTTTTAATTCATTATTTGTAATCTCCCCAAGTTGCATTTGAAAAGACTCTAAAGTATTCACCACCATTCCTTGTATACACTCTATAATATTATTTTCAATGTCTGAATCAACTGAAAATGAAAATGATTTAAGATTTTTTTGTACTTTTAATAATTCTTTTAAATTTTTCTTTGGTTTTAAATCATTAACATAATTCCTATCCCAAGGACAAATGGTTAATTTTTTAATCTCTTGAGAATACTTTTTTATCTCGTTAATTAATGATGCCTTATGAAAATTCCCTTCACATGTGAATTCAGATAATCCGGAAAAACATCTCGCGACATCTTTTAATCTAAAAATATATCCAAAGAAATCTTTAGGTATCGTGTAAGGTATTTCATTATCTTCATAATAAATTTCAACAAAGAGCTTTTCTATCCCCTTACTTCTCGCTATAATGATCTTAAAAATATACTCGAAGAAGGCCAACTTTTCCTGATCTTTCAAACAACATCGTTCGATGAAACGATCATAACTAAAATTTAACTCATATTCTTCTTCATCTTCCTCGAAAATTGAAAAATCAAAAGTAAACTTGTCACTATTCTTAATGAAATAATTCTTTTTTAATTTTGGTCTATGTGATTTATTTTTATTTATCCATTCTGTTATTAATGAAAATAATTTATTAAAATCTAATTGTCTTATAAATGAGGGGTAATTTAATGATGGTGGTGTCATGATGTTATTATTTTTCGAGTTTCGAGTTCTAACTTTTGATTTTTGTATTTTAAGGACGGATTTTTGTTGTTCATCGAGGTATGATAAAATGATTGAAATAATCTTGTAAAGGTTTTTCGATGAACCTTTTTTAATGCTAAACGGTTTTTTCCATAAATGTCGAATCGCGAGTTGACACCATGTTCTATTAACTAGTGATAATGAGTGAAAGGTTTTTATGTCGTCTTCATCCACGTAACTAAGGATCTCTTCGATAGTTTCAATAGATAGATTTGACATTTTTTTTTTTTCTTTTTTGGAAAAAAAAAAAGTAAAAATTTTATTTAAAAAAAAAATTGGAAAGATTCAGAGAATAAAAACTACGTTCTTTTTTTTTTTTTTTTCCATTGTTTATTACAAATTGTTTATATATTGAAAGCTTGGTGTTACAAAATATTTCATGGGTCATGAGTTTTAGCCCACCCGGATTGTCATTTTCGAGAATCACGTGGACTAATAATTCGATCCAAATGAATTCGAAACGCACGCACCACCTTTCCCTTGTTTTCGCATTTAAACGTAGGAAATGCATTATGCACATGTAGCTTTCTGCAATATAAAATGCCGTGTAAGTAAGTGGTTAACAAATGGGACAACAGTTAACTGCACACGCCCGACAGAATATCAAGGAACGCATGCATTGTCTTCTATGGGTATCCCGTCCCGTTTCATTTTTAAATTGTTAAAGATGACGCGTCACAAAGTATGGTACGTTCTAGAATTGGTGACAGATCAAGATTTGAGATCAAAAAAAGGTAGGGAAATAAATAGTGTGAGCGCGTATATTCTTGTTGTAATACGTACAGTACAGTATAAGCATCGCATGTAATGATTGTCCCCTCACCTTATAAAATTTCATTAGGCGTTGCGGAATTATTTTTCCTGCCAAGTGCACCTCAAGATACACGGAAGTTCTGTCTAGAAATTGATGTTCAATTAACACGAGGTTATGATTCTTTATTGGTTGGTTCAATCTCTTGACAATTAAAAAATTTACCCCCCTGGTTAATTTTTTTTTCGCAACTAGTAGATCATTACGGCGCATTATTGTAAAGCGTAGTAATTTATTACGCCAGCTATTTTCATGTGATGTGATTTATGACTAATGTTATGCATATTACACGGCCTTAACCGATTATTGATTAACAATACTTTCCCGTTAAAGTGATTAATTGTTATTGAAAATAATAATAATTAAAACAAACTTTATAAGTTTAACAAATGATTTCTTATTTTAGAAGAAAAGAATAATTATATATGTTAGTTGATTTACTTACATAACGAAAAAATGTGTTATTGTTTATTTACAAGAAAAAGATGTCTGTTTTCTTTTTTTAAATTCTTTACATGTAAGAGTATAGTAAACTTGGGATATTGAAATTTAAAATTTTCTATTAATGAAACGTATCATGTTACTGCGCCATATATGCTAAATACTAATTTAGCGCATATTGTTTCATTTAATAATGCCAAGGGCGTCAAAAGCAAAAAGAAACGTCTGTGTTTACTAAATATATGGCGTATTTTTAATACAATTTTAAATTAAACTGCCAATTTACCGTCTCTCCATTATTCACTAGCGGATAAAAATGTTTTGCAAATCGACATTTTTGCTAATTAAGGAGTAAATGATATCGATATGATGATGATACATCGAACTTTCTATTTAGCATAGAAACATTAAGCTTCATGTTTAATATCACATATTATTACTTTATTTGTTTTGCGTGTGTAATAGTAATATTAATAGATCTTGTATAATAAATAGGACCATATAAAATATAGAGGATGGTAAATATCATTTTTATTTATAAAAATTTTTATGTATATAGAGTATATCTTATCTGTATAGCATATAGATGAAGTGATTTGGGGCCTTTGCAATAGAAGGGGGGATACTGCCGGGAAAAATCAATTTTACTTTTATATACCAAATATGATTTTCAGGCCGAAATATGTTCAAATTTTTTGCATTAACTCATTTTTTATTTTTTCCGACAGTTCTCCATTTAGTTCATTTGAAATAGATAATTGAAGTTTTATTTATTTAGTTTGAAACATTCAAAAAAGCTTTATTTTAACATAATTACTATAATTATAATATTTCTATTATGTATTTATTATTTAATTTAGCATACAAAATTTTAAATACCTTTTTTAAATACCTTTTTAAAGAAAGATAATCAAATTTTAGATTTCAAAAAAATATAAATTTTTAATCAATTACTTGGTATTCATTTTTTTTTAATTAAATATTTATAAAAGTTTATTTTTTAATAAAAAAATTAAGAATCTTTTAATTTTTTCTAAATTGATATTTAATTTCTAGTTAATAATATAATGATTATTGTAAAATTGAATTTAATACATTTAATACATTAATTTATTTTTATTTTTAACGTAATTATATCAAAGTATCATTACAACTTATAATAAATTATGATTATCATACAATCAGATCTGTTTATAATAAGTTCTATCTATAATAGCATCATATAAAAATCTTTTTATAATCATACTTATATTAAAACCAGTTATGATTAAAAAATATGCAAAAAAATTTCTTATGGAGTAATACTTTGTAATTTTTAATAGTATTACATATAATAAATATATCATAAAATTATACAATTGTAAAAATATACATAATATTACAGAAGTTAATGTAATTTTATCTAATTCAGATTCCAATAATATACAAAAACTCATTATTATCAGGAAGGAATAGATAACTATTAAGCATTATATCAAGAGCAATTTGATACCTAATGACTTAACATTAAAAGTAATCACATAAAAGCTAACTTTAAGAGTATAAACTGATAGAAAAGGAAACTAATTAAAAGAAATACATAAAATGAAATAATACATAAAACTATTTCAAAAAAGTGAAAACCTTAAAGATAAAAATTGTATAATATAATTTGCATCAAAAGCTATGCATAAATAGCTTTCAAAATAATATTTATACCTAAGAAAATACAGATTTACATTAAGAGATAAAATAAAGAAAAGCAAGTATATTTATATTAGATTTACAATTAAAATGTATATAAAAAGAACATATGAATTTTTTAATTAAAATTAGTAATCCAATCATTAAAATGCATCTATCATGAAAAAGAAACCACTAAAAATACTACAAAGATTAATGAAAATACCATCATCTGAATTACAAAAGAATTATTGATAAATAAGAAATTCAGATCTTAGATTTGTCGATACATTTAACAAATAATTTATCAAAACTTTTTAAAGAAAATTAAAGATTGAAAATGAAGTTTTATTTCAAATGTGTAAAGCAAAATAATATAAAGAAATGCTAGAAAATGCAAAAGTAAAGATAGCCAAACAAATAAATGATTAAGAGAACAGAAAGAAAAGATAATAAAATATTATTCTAAAATGATAAATAAATTATTTATAATTTTTTTTGGCTTGGTATTTGAAATTATTTCTGAAAATTTTTAAATTATGTTTTCACATGTTAAAATTTATATCAAAAAATTTTTCACATTAATATTACGTAAATTTAATAAATACTATATTATAAATCTTTCTTATTCTGAAAGTATTATAAATATATTATGTATTAGGAATTTTTAGTGTAATATTATATAAAACTTATAATAAAATTTATTAATATTAAAGAATAATAATCATCTACTATTTTAAGTCCAAAATAAATATAACAAAAATAGACAATCATAAATTAATGAGCAAAAGAATAGACTATTTTGTATTATATTATATATATTATAATAATGTAAAAGTAAAATTTAAGTTTTTAGCGAAAATTCTTTATTGCATAATAAACAGAATATTTATTTTAAATATTACATTATATGCAGTTTAATATATTTAACAAGAATAAACTTTTATAGATTTACATTATGACTTTGTCTTAATTATTTGAATGATTTTTATGTATTATTTTTATTTTACATCTTATCTTTTTTTATCATTAACATTAACAGAAAATTATTTTATTATTTAAGTATTGTATGCTAAAGTTTTAAATTTGCAGAGTATAAAAATCAAAACGTGTTTTTTCAAATACTCTATTTATAAGTTTTTTTTTCATATGTATATACAAAATGTAGAATACTTTATTATTTAAATAATTTTACAAATAAGAATATAAGGGTAATATTTAAATTAATTTATTATTTAAATTTTATACTTAACACTTAATCAAATAATTGTAATACAACTTAAAAAAAGAAATGAATATGTAAAACTTTTGCTTTTTACAGAATTTAGAATTAATAGAATATGTATTATGTATATAATTATTTCTCTTAATCTTTATTTTAAAAATAATCTTTTTATATAACTTCACTTCTTAATTCTACATTTTAATTATAATTAATTATAATAAAATTAATAAAATAAATTTTAAATACTATTATAAAATATTTTTAAAATAATACAATTTTATAATATGAAAAAAAATATATATAAGCGAATCAATTAAATATAAATTTTTAATAAAAATAATACTTTTAACAATTCTTTATTAATCTTATTCATAAAAAATTAAAATACTGAAAAGAAATACTACAATACTTACCAAAACTAGTAAAGCATTTAACAATTTAATTTTTAGCAAGTAAAGTCTTATAAATGCTCTACAATCATAATCAAAGAAAAGTAAGTTGAGTGATCTTTTTTGGGAAAAGTATATCTTCTATTAATTTAAATGGTAATTATTTTTTATACTATATTTTTCTTTTATTAAAATAATTAATATAGGTGATATGCTATTAAAATTATGTATAAATCATATAATTTACTATGTCTTATACCTCAATTTTAATAACATATCACCATATTTTAATATTTTTAATCAATGACTTATATGATGATATTATTGAAAATAATGAAAATAGTAATATATAAATGGTAAAGAAAATTATCAACCAAATTATTTAAAAATAAATATAAAGATAAATTTATTATTAGTAAGAAAAAAGGTAATTGAAGACCAGTTTATAAGAATAAAAGTAAGTTACAAAGATAAACATATAGAAAAAAAATTAATTAAAGTAATACCTAATAGTCAAATTATATTACTATTTAATTATTAATTCTTAATTTATTTAGATTATTATTAAAAAAATGTTATAAAGAATTTGTGAT